TGACACTTCTTTTCATGAGTTGGACAGGCGAGGGGCGATTGGTGCGGCGGCAGAATAATAAACTATAGCGTAGAAAGAATAGAAATATGACAAAAGCAAAAATGGATATACACCAAGTACTCAAACAGTTACCTCATCGCTATCCGTTTGTGATGGTGGACAGGGTTTTGGAAATTGAGCCTGGAAAATCTATCAAGGCGCTGAAAAATGTGACTATTAATGAACCTTATTTTGTAGGGCATTTCCCCCATCGTCCGGTGATGCCCGGGGTGATGATAGTGGAGGCTTTGGCGCAGACGGCTGCGCTTTTGGGTTTTGATACCCTGGGCGTTACACCAGATAGCAAAACCATGTTTTATTTTGCTGGCATAGACGGGGCGCGCTTTAAACGCCCTGTAGAGCCAGGCGATCAGCTCATTTTGTATATGGAAGTGGAGCGGGTGCGTGCTGGCATTTGGAAGTTTAAGGGGCATGCGACTGTTGGCGAGGATTTGGTCACTGAGGTGCAAATTATGTGTACCATCCGCTATCTGGAAGACTAAATTAACTAACAGCATTGGCATCCAGATGGCCCAATTACACCCTACAGCGATAGTTAGCCCTACTGCCCAGCTGCATGAAACTGTGCAGGTGGGCGCTTTTACTATCATAGGCGATAACGTGCGCGTAGCTGCCAACACGAGTATAGGCTCGCATTGTGTAATAGAGGGTCACACCCAGATTGATTGCGACAACCAAATTGCTTCGCATAACTCCATAGGCAGCGCAGCGCAAGACAAGAAATACCGCAACGAAGCCACGCGCTTGGTCATAGGTGCGCGCAATACCATACGCGAGTTTTGCACCATCAACACTGGCACGATACAAGGTGGTGGCGTTACTACCATTGGGGACGATAATTGGATTATGGCCTATGTGCACATTGCCCATGATTGTCAAGTGGGTTCGCACACCATCATGGCCAACACTTCCACTCTAGCGGGTCATGTAGAAGTTGGCGACTGGGCGATTATTGGAGGACTCACTGGGGTGCACCAATTTACCAAAATTGGCGCACATGCTATGGTAGGTTTTGCCAGCGCAGTGAGCCAAGATATTGCTCCTTATATGATGGTAGATGGTAATCCTTTATCGGTGCGCGGCATTAATTCCGAGGGCTTGCGTCGGCGCGGGTTTGGCAACGAGCGCATTGCGTTTATCAAACAT